ATGTGATTGGTCTGCAGGGTGGTGCAGGTGTCAGCTTTCTGGAAGCAGGTGCTGATGTATGTCTTGCACAGAGGAAGAGACAGTTCAGAGAGGTTCTGACTTGCCCAAGGTTCCACAGGCAGTCATGGTGGAGCACGCTGGAACCGGGCCTGCCTGATAGCACCTGTTCCCCTGCAAGGGAGTGACGGGTCTGCCCTGATTTGTCCCTAGTGCCGGCTGCTTCTTCGGTGACGAGGTGAGGGGCAGTGGCGAATCTGCCCCCAGCGACACCGATGCCTCCTCAGAAGTTGAGAGACCGGGGCCTGGCCAGCCTCTCCCTGCAGAGCCTCTAGACGATTCCAAGAATCCCACAGGGAGCTCAGCCTCGGGCCCAGGGGCTGGCAGGACTGCAGAAGATACCACGGAGGATGGCTGCCCAGCCGAGGGCAGCGGGGCGGCCGGACCCGACACACACCCCGGCCCGGCCCCCACGCCGGCCGAGCTGCCCTGGACCAATATTGACCTCAAGGAGCCCAAGAAAGTGCCCAGCCACTCGGCCGCTGGCTTCCCCGAGACCACCAGCCTCTCCTCACTGGGGCTCCTCCCGCTGGGCTTGGAGGAGCCGTACGGGGTGGACGACCACCCGCTGTGGGCCTGGGTGTCGGGAGGCGGCTGCGTGGTGGAGGCATGTGCCATGCCCAGGTGGTTCACTGTCCAAGCGGGTAAGGGCTCCTGCAGGGCCTGGGGGCATCCACATGGCCAGGTGCCCTGGGGGTGTGGGGTGTGGGAGGAGGCCGGGGTTGCGGGGCTCGGGCAGGCCTGCTGTCCTCCCTGGATACCTCCCTGTGCTCAGCAGCCCTGAGCCAGACGTTGGGCTCCTCTGTGGCCTTCAGATACCAGCCTGAGGCCATCAGGACCTGGAAGCACAGTGGCCAATGCCTCCTCCCCCGTCTGCAGCCCATCCGCTGTGCTAGCAGTGCTGGCCGCTTTCCAGGCTGAATTACTGCGGGAGAGCAACTTGTCCGTCAGGGCGAAGGGTGGAAGGAGGCTTAACAGAGAGTGTAGCTTTTGACCTAGAAAGGGCTGATTTGGTGGAGGGGAGCGCCGTGGCTTCCTGCCCAGCTGCGGGCAGGACGGTGCCCCGGCCCTGAGGCTCTGCCTGCCCCACAGGCCTGTCTCCCTCGGTGCAGACGCTGTCCCTGTCCATCACGCCGGCCCAGACCGCCGCCTGGAGGAAGCAGATCTTCCAGCAGCTCACAGAAAGGACCAAGCGGGAGCTGGAGAACTTCAGACACTACGAGCAGGCTGTGGAGCAGGTGGGCACCCCGGTGGCTGCACACACATTTTTTTTTTTTTTCTAACAATCATTCATTGAGCACCTGCTGTGTACCAGCTCTGAGAGAAACAGATGGATGCCTCCATCCCGCTGTCCATCCGTCTCCCACGCAGATGCAGGCATAGAGAAAGGAGCTCAGGGTTCCTTCGTCCATCCTGAAGACTTTGGTTCGGGCCCCACTGTGTTCCGGGCTCATTGGAGGCCCTGGGGACCCAGAGACAACAGCAACCTCAGAGGGTGGTGGGTGGGGAGGGGAGGGTGGCCAGGGAGGGGAACCACGGCATCCTCTCCCTGCTGGAGGGAACCCCGGGCACCCAGGGGTGCAGCGTGTGATTGCAAGGAGTTAGCACAGAGGGCGGCCAGAGACCCCACCTCTGGACCAACCCTGCTACCGCCCCGCTGTCCTGTGGCAGAGCCCGGCCCTCAGAGGCTCACAGTCAAGTGTGGGGGTGACAGGGAAGTCACACAGCATGTGACCCTCCTCATTCCAAGGGCCGCTGGACACAAGCAGGCTGTGGTTTGGGTTCTAGCTCGCCGCTGGCTCACTGTGTGACACCAGGCCGGGCACGGAACCTCCCGAGCCTGTTTCCCCATGCAGAAGGCAGGGTGGTAGTGCCCACTGCCCGGCTGTTTGCGAGAGGGGAGGTTGTACCGAACAGCCCTGGCTTTCAACCTGCACCTGTCGGGTGTCCAGCAGCGTCACCGTTGTCATTAGCCTGGGGGGAGCTGGGCTGAGAGCTGGGAGTGCCGGGTGGGCCCTACCCCAGCCCTGCCTCCTCCTCTGGGCACCCCTGGCCCCGCCCCCCTCCGCTTGCACCCCGGGCCTGCCTGTGACGGTGTCCCCTGCCCCGGCCTGCGTAGTCAGTGTGGGTGAAGACCGGGGCGCTGCAGTGGTGGTGCGACTGGAAGCCCCACAAGTGGGTGGACGTGCGCGTGGCCCTGGAGCAGTTCACGGGGCACGACGGCGCCCGGGACAGCATCCTCTTCATCTACTATGTGGTCCACGAGGAGAAGAAGGTGCCCGCAGGTCCCATGGAAGATGGGGCCAGGGAGGGGACACAGGGCTGGGGTGCCAGGGGAGGGGTACAGAAATGGGGGTGCCCAGGGAAGGGGGTAAAGAAATGAAGTACCAAGGGAGGGGTCAGAGCTGGGGGTACCCAGGGGAGGGAGCAGGGCCAGGGGTGCCAGGAGAGAGGGTGTCCGAGGGCAGGGTCCCAGGGTGAAGCACAGTGAGGGTCGCCCTCCAGAGGCCTCCTGCCCTGGGTGACAGCCCTGCCGGGCGCCTGCTCTGTGAACAGTACGCCCACATATTCCTGAACGAGGTGGTGGCGCTGGTCCCAGTGCTGAACGAGACCAAGCACTCCTTTGCCCTGTACACCCCCGAGCGGACACGGCAGAGGTGGCCGGTGCGTCTGGCTGCCGCCACCGAGCAGGACATGAATGACTGGGTGAGTGGGCGAAGGTCCCCTCGGGCCGGGGAGAGGGACAGCCATGGTGGGGCGACCTGGCCTGGCCTGCTCGGCAGTGACCAGCGTTGTGCCACGCCAGCTCGCCCTGCTCAGCCTGTCCTGCTGCGAGAGCCGAAAGGTGCAGGGCCGCCCATCCCCGCAGGCCATCTGGTCCATCACCTGCAAGGGGGACATCTTCGTGAGCGAGCCCAGCCCGGACCTGGAGGCCCATGAGCACCCCCTGCCCTGCGACCAGATGTGAGTGGGCTATACTCCGGGTGGGGCCTGGCCTCACCCAGAGCTCATGGTTACAGAAGGGGGGTCCAGAAGACTGGAGTCCATGCAGGGCCAAGCTTCTCGCCGACCAGCCAGAAGCACAGCCACTGGTTCCCAGGCCCAAGTCCCCTGGGCCTGTCCAAAGACCCCAAGAGGAGGAACCAGAAGCCCCACCGGGCCCAGGGTGGGTCAGTGCCGCCCAGGAGCCTCTGAGCTTCGGGAGGAATGTGGAGTGTGGGTGAGGGGCGCAGTTCTGCACCCCAGGGGGCTTCCAGGCCCTGGCAAAGCAGCCACATCTCTCCACCTGTCCAGGGCACAGACCGGTGCTCAGCCGCCTCCAGCTCCAGCTGAGGCCCTGCTGCAGGGGCCGCCCGGGGCCTGGGGGCAGAGAGGAGAGAACTGCTGGGGGAGGAGAGTTTGGGGGCGTGGTCCAGGCAGAGCTGGTGGGGTTTGAAGTCCAGCGGGCGTGGGCGGAGAGAGGACTTGGTGTTTGGCACTGGGAAGTGCCAGTGGAGACGGGACCTGGGGGACCCGGGGTAGCCAGGCTGGAGTGGGGTGAGGGCAGGGCTGGACGCACAAGCCTAGGAGGCATTGTTCTGTTGGGGACATTGACAGCCACAGGGTGGGGCTAGGCAGGTTGGCTCACACCTGCAATCTCATCACTTTGGGAGGCTGAGGTAGGAGGATCACTTGAGGTCAGAAGTTCAAGACCAGCCTGGGCAACATAGCCAGACTCATCGCTACCAAAAAAAAAAAAGTCAAAAAATTAGCAAGTCACGGTGTCATGCACCTGTGGTCCCAGCTACTCGCAGGGCTGAGGTGGGAGGATCACTTGAGCCCAGGAGTTCTAGGCTGCAGTGGGGTGTGATCACACCCCACACCATGGCACTCCAGCCTGGGCAACACAGTGAGACCCTGTCTCAGGAAAAAAAAAAAAAGCCGCAAAAGGGGAACGAGTTTCCCTGGGGGGATCTGAGCTGAGTCCTGAGGAGGAGGACCCAGCAGCGGACATGGGGGCTATGATTCTGTCCCCTGTGGGACAGAGAGGCTGCCCCAGAGGGTGTCCCCAAAACGACGAGGTCCTGGGCTTCATGACCTGTGGGCACTGGGGCTGGGGACATAGTGAGCCAGAAGCCCTGGCTGCAGGAGAGGATAGCAATATCCTGTCGGAGGATTCAGACCGCCTCTGGTGACGGTGACAGTGACAGGGCCTCGGCCACAGGAGGCTGACCTGCACCAGCTGCAGCCTGCACTCTGCCCGCCCAGGAGGCCATGCTGTGGTGGCGCCGCCTCCTGCTGACACCCTGGAAGCCCAAGGGCTGTGCTGTCACTCATGCAGAGGATTAGACGTCACGTCTGGCTCTGCTCTGTGACATTCAAGCCTGGCTGCACCTGCCACTGTGGCCAGCCCGTTCCCCCAGGTCCCAGACCCCAAGGGGCCCTGTGAAACACGCCGCTGGCCTCATCCGCTCCGTGTCACCGTGGGGATGAGGTGGGTGGGTTCCAGAGGACTCCCAGCCCGTGGAGGGGTCTGACCTGCACAGCCCCAGTGCCAAGACCCTCCACCTCTCGTGGGCTGAATCTCTTCAGCGTTGATTAGTGTGAACATGGAGGTCAGGCAGGGTGGACGGTCTGTGCTTGGAGACCGAGGAGGGCTGGGAAAATCCCAGAACCACGGGAGGCCATGGAACAAAAGGGCGGCCAGGCAGGGTTGGAAGGTGGGGCCTGAGGGGTTTCCTCCTGCCCTCTCCCATCCTTCCAGGTTCTGGCGGCAGATGGGAGGCCACCTGCGGATGGTGGAGGCCAACAGCCAGGGCGTGGTGTGGGGCATCGGCTATGACCACACGGCCTGGGTGTACACAGGTGGCTATGGAGGTGGCTGCTTCCAAGGTGAGGGCAGCCCGCGGGCCACCCGCCTGGAGCCTTCCTGGGCGTTCTTCCCTCTAGTCCCCGCCTGGGTTCCCTGCCCAAGGCCAGGGCTACTGCCGCAGTGTTCACACTCGGCTAACAGCTGGCTGACAGGTGACCTTCACCACTGCCAGCCTCCACCCAGGATGGTCCCTGCCAGTACCCCCCCAAGCTGAGGGCCTCGAAGGTTCCAGAGAGGCAGCGGCCAAGGCCCCCCAGCGTGTCCGGCCCCTCATTTTCAGGGTGTTAGGTGGGCTTTTCCTTCAGGGTAGGCACTCGCTGAACTTCTGTGGACCCCCGATTTCTAGGCCAGGGTCCCTCTGTTCCTACTGGAAAACGAAGGCAGAAACGGACACTGAAACAGGGCATTCCAGGCCACAGCCCACATGCCTCACGGGGGAGCAGCTAACCCCAGAGAACTGTGGTCCCTTGACGCGCCAGGAACGCGTATCTGAGCAGGCTTTGCAGCTGCCCTGTGTGTGAGGCAGGAATGGCCTCTGTCTTCATGTCACAAGTGAGGGAGCCGGGGCTCACAGATGTTACGTTCACGGTCCCAGGTGCTTTTGGTAACACGGAGTGAGCTGGGTGGGCCTCAGGCCTCCCTGGTGCTAAGTGGGAGGGCAAGGTGGGAAGAGGTGCTGCAGGGGTGTGGATGGGAGGTTTGATGCACAGTGGGCTGTGTTCATCAAGGTTGCGCAATCCCAGAATAATCACAGGCCCGGAGGCGAGAAACCAAGGCAGGCCGCCCCGTGAGATAAGCTCAACAGGCCTGTTTGCCCCTCTCCGCTGACCTGGCTCCAGCCCATCCCCGGCCTCTCTGGGAATCTGTGCTTCAGACGGAACGCCAGAGTCCCAAGCAGAGCCCATGTGGCCTCGGTCCCAGCAGCCACCTCTCCCCGCAGGCCTGGCCAGCAGCACCAGTAACATCTACACGCAGTCAGATGTGAAGTGTGTTCACATCTATGAGAACCAGCGCTGGAACCCTGTCACAGGCTACACCAGCAGGTAAGTGGCACAAGTGCCCAGCCAGGATGCTGCCTCGCACAGTCCTTAGTCCTGGCAAAACCAGGACAGCAGCATCCACCGTAGCGTAGAGTCCAGTAGAGCCTGGCGTCAGGCCCCCAGCAGGAAACTAACCGGATCTTATCACTCACTGAGATTTCTTTTTCCTTGAATCTTGTTTTTTGGTGTTTTGGTTTGGTTTGGTTTGGTTTTTTTGAGAGAGTCTCTCTCTGTCACCCAGGCTGGAGTGCAGTGGCATGATCTCGGCTCACTGCAACCTCCGCCTCTTGGATTCAGGCAATTCTCCTGCCTCAGCCTCCCAAATGGCTGCAATTACAGGCGCCTGGCACCATGCCTGGCTAATTTTTTGTATTGTTAGTAGAGATGGGGTTTCACCATGTTGACCACATTGGTCCTGAACTCTTGACCTCAAGTGATCTGCCCACCTTGGCCTCCCAAAGTGCTGGGGTTACAGGCGTGAGCCACTGCATCCGGCCGAAAGTCTCTAACTATATTGACAAAGTTTCTACCTCCAATACATGTATGGAATTCCTTCTTAATGAGATTCTGTTCCTGATTCAAGCACCAGAGATAGAAGAAAGAAAGGTTTTGTAATTTTTCTTTTTTTTTTTTTCTGAGACAGAGTCTCGCCCTGTTGCCCAGGCTGGAGTACAGTGGCATGATCTTGGCTCACTGCAAGCTCTGCCTCCCAGGTTCAAGCAATTCTCCTGCCTCAGACTAACAAATAGCTTAGATTACAGGTGCGTTCCACCATGATGGGCTAATTTTTGTGTTTTTAGTAGAGACGGGGTTTCACCATATTGGTCCAGCTGGTCTCGAACTCCTGACCTCATGATCCCCCCGCCTCAGCCTCCCAAAGTGCTGGGATTACAGGCGTGCGCCACTGTGCCTGGCCTGTACTTTTCTATACTGGAGCTTTTATTAGATGGTATTTCATATTTTTGGACACTATTATAAGTGGCATATTCCAAGTTTTAAATTTCATTTTTTTTTAACTTTTTGAGGCTGTCTAGAGAAATGCAGTTCATTTCCTCTCCTGGTTTTCTTTGTTTTTGTTTTGTTTTGTTTTGTTTTGTTTTGTTTTTTGAGACAGTCTCACTCTGTCGCCCAGGCTGGAGTGCAGTGGCTTGATCTTGGCTCACTGCAGCCCTTGCCTCCCGGGTTCAAGCGATTCTCCTACCTCAGCCTCCCGAGTAGTTGGGATTACAGGCGCCCGCCACATTACCTGGCTAATTTTTGTATTTTTAGTAGAGACAGGATTTCACCATGTTGGTCAGGCTGGTCTCCAACTCCTGAACTCCCGAGATCCGCCTCAGCCTCCCAAAGTGTTGAGATTACAGGCGTCAGGCGTGAGCCACTACACCCGGCCTCCGCTTCTACCTTTTCCAAATTGATGAAATAAACAGTCATAGAAACAACAAACTCTCTGACGACTCTAATCTCACCAGCCAAAGACAGCAACTGCGATTAGCATGTGGGGTGTGGCCTTCCGACCATCCTGTGTGTTGGGGGCAGATGAGGCCAGGCACAGGGAGGTGGCTCCATGGCCTCACCATTCCGTACCCGGGGTGGACCCAGTGTATCTGACTTTACTCAGCCTTGGATGTCTCGACCATAAGTGACCTTTTCAGCGTCCTATGGAACCGTTTAAAGGACGTCCTTGTGTGTAAATATTTGTGTGTCTGCGTGTTTACCCCAGTGAATCAGGGGATTTGAGATTTTCCAAGGCGGTTGACACACATTGCCAAAATATTTCCATCCTGAACACCTCCGCCTCGACTGTGGGCATTGTCCACACAGCCTGCCAACACACTTGGATCTCCACCCCCTCCTCACGTCCTCCTCAGTCCTTACGGAGGACAGGGCAGGGCTGTGCACCCACATTTGTCTCAGAGAGGCCCGAGAGGGCCACAGCTGGTCATCACAAATGCGTGCCCCAGCTGTGCTCTCCAGGCATCTCAGCCTCACAGCCGCCCCCACAAAACTGCCCCATGTGCTGCTTCCCGCTACTCGAGTGTCTTGTCGTGACACTAACAAAGTACCACAGACCACATGATTTGAACAAGAGAAATGTGGCCATGTGTGATGACTCACACCTGTCATCCCTGTGCTTTGGGAGGTGACATCAGCCTGGGCAACAAAGCAAGACTCCATCTCTACAGGACATTTAAAAATAAACTAGCCAGGTGTGGTGGCACGTGTCTGTAGTGCCAGCTACTCAGGAGGCTGAGGTGGGAGGATCACTTGAGCCCAGGAATTCAAGTCTGCAATGAGCTATGATCATACCCCTGCCCTCCAGCCTGGGTGACAGAGCGATAGCTGTGGAAGGGAAGGGAAGGAAAGGGAGGGGAGGGGAGGGGAGGGGGAGGGGGAG